TTTTTTTTTTTTTTTTTTTTTTTTTTTTTTTTTTAGTTCTTCTTCCTAAACACACTGAATCACAGCTACAATTCCACGGATTCAAGCTCCTTTTCTCTGAGGCTTTGCCAGGAATCATCTCAGGACTGCATGACAGATTCACTTTTATTGAAAGTACTACATCCTTAAGTTCCTATGGAGAAAGACTGCAGTACTTTCCTGGAAGTCATTTAATGCTGACTTTCTCACTGGGAGGTTTTTCTCCTTCATTCAGCAAGCTTTAAAGACTGTACCAGTTGACAGTTTTCAAGCTGAGATGAGGGCCTTTTTGCCCCTTAGTTTATCAACTTCACTGGCATCTTGACAAAAAGATCTGTAATTCCTCCTCATGGGGTTTTAAAATATATGAGTATGTGAATCAAATCAGGATGTTTCCCATTGCATTGTGAGTTTACTGGAGCAGGAAGCTTATGCTTTTTGATGGCTAGGATTATCAGGACTGGAAGGCCAGCAAGTAATGGAAACAAGTGTCAGGTACTGAGGAAACCCTCTCTGTACCCCAAATTCATTCAAAGTGTGGTCTATATTGGTATTACCTAGGTGCCTGTTAGAAATACAGAATCTCAAGCCCTACACTAGACCTTCTGAATCTCTGACTGGGGCCGACAAATCTGTGTTTTAACAAGTTTCGCTGGTTGTTCTGATGCGTGTAAGATTTGAGGAGCACTATTGTAGATTCTTCTCTACTTTTGTACTGGGTCTATTTGCAGGGATTCATAATAACATCACTGCTTTAAGAACTCGTACTCCTATAAATGAGACATGTCCATTCCCCTTAGAGTTTAACATCAGGAGTAGACTAAAGGGCATTTTCAAACTTGTAAGACGGGCAAAAGGACAGAGAAGAAAAGGTGAGCCTCATGTCCTTTGTATATACCAAAAGTACTCTCTCACCTCGAGGGACAAGGTCTGGAAAAATTACCAATCTAGCTGACTATCAGTCTCATTTTAGGCAAGCAAAAGGAATTATATTCCATAGCACTGCCCGCTCTAGTCTGAGACACTTTGGGGAAGATAATGGAGATGCAACCTCCATTCCCCAAAAGTGTGCACCTACATGAGGCAAAATGACAGAGGCACCAGCAGCTTGCCTTAGGATATTTACAAATGAGCAAAAATGGGACTGGTCCAGAAATTTATTGGACTCCACCCAAACCAACTAGAAGATCATAGTCCTTTTTGGTTTGGCTTTTATTTTTAACCTCTCTCCCACAAGTATTTTCTTCTCTGTGTTTTTACCAAACACTATCCTGCCTGCCTCCTAGTTCTTCCGGATGGTTTCAGTAAAGCCTGCTCTGACAGAATATCCCAGTTCTCCCCTCTGCCTGATCCTGGTGTTCTGTGTAGAAGTGACTAGAACACGAACGATGTCCTAATCCAGGCAGTCATTCAGAGAAGACTGCATTGCTTCTATGGGGCCTGACTCCTTTTTCCAAAGGAAAACTCACACTGACTCTGAAATATAAAATTCTTCTTCTACTGTCTCTGGGCCCTACATAGCACATTTCTCTGGAGAAACTGTAGAAAGTCCTTTTCAATATTTCTTGATACACACAATACCTGGAGACACCCTTGCGTGACACAAAACACTTCCCTGGAGTAACACCATTGTAGTTTCCCTGAAAAGCTTTAAAGAGAAGTTGCCCTGAAAAAAAAAATCAAGAATTACCCCCTGGGAAGATAAAGATAAGTTGAGTGTTCAGAAATATCATTTAGAAATAAAAAAGCTTCAGGGGAAAAATTGCACTACTTTGACTGAAATGAGGTAAATGCTAGTCTGAAAAACAGATGTATTAGAGACAGGGAAAACCTAAGATGGAAACGTTAAGGTAAAAATCTTCACAAAAACCTGGAGGAGTTTAGGTCATGACAGACCGGGTCTGATATGTGTACCTTTGAAATAGATATACTACATCCCAGAGAAACATTTTTGTTTCTCCCCATAAACTCTCCACATTTGGAATGCAGTTCAGTGATTTAATATGTCAGTAAAACAGATGGCTTTCCTGAAAGTATGAAATAATGAAATGATTAATGAAGAAATTGATTTGAAAAATGTAAAATGTGCTTGAAAATTTACAAATTATTTTCCTTGAAAGTAAAGTCTAAAGAGAGAAGCAATATAGTAGAGTTACATCATATAGGGGTGTTGGGTATAATGTTAGCCTATAAAAATAAAATCCTCATGTAACCAAAATTGTCATCCCAAATCCCTAAATCGTCCATCAAGTATGATATACATTCCTGCACAGAAATCATTGTGCACACTAAAGTTTGAGACTACTTTGGGTTGTTTTTCTGGGCATCTTTCTCTGCTGGAAACACTAAGTTTCTTGGTTTAAATAACTACTAGAATGATAAAGGGCCACTTAGAAGAGGGGGAAAATAGTGATGATAAATATTGTTGACTTTTTGCTAAGTCTTTTGGGAAACCTTGTAAAACTGGTATTGTTTTAGAAGTATAGAAAGACATCAGAAAGATGGTAAGTGAAGAATCTTTGATTCTACAAAATGTAAAATAATTCACCTTTCTTTGATTATGTACCAAAAATATTCAGATATCTCATACTCCTATGACATGTCTCAAGACAAATTCACAACCTGAAATAATTAGGTAAGGGAAAGAAAACTCTTCTTAGCAGCCCTCCTAGCAGCAGCTCTAGCATCTCCCATTTTATTTTGGTCCATTTTGTTTTGTTTTGGGTTCAATCATGTTTCTAATGAATGAGAAATCAGCCCTCACTTCTAATTATGTCCCCAAAATGAAAACACTTGTAAGATTTTTTTTCTTGTAAAACTAAAAACTATTTCTGAAAACTCTTCTGCAAAAATAATACTATAAAACTATCCTGAAATCAAAATATTTTCTCATGGATGGGGCAGACTGGTTGAAAAACAAGACTTAACTGATGACTCCATGAAGTAGGACCCTTTTCAGTCAGCTTTTTGCTATGTTTTCTCCAGAATTTTCCTTTTTTTCTGAGGAAGCGCTGTTTGGGAGGGTGGAGTGTGGAGAAGAGACACTGCGTATATTTGATTCAGACAAAAGCTTGTTTTCTTTAATTGAAATGATATGGGGAGCAGGAAACAGACAGGCTTTCTAAATTCACAGTAAAAGGTCTCACAGTAAAGATGGCCATTGTAGAAATATGTTTCAACTGTATATGTAAATAGTAATTCAATGGAGAGAATCCATCTTAGCATCATGTGTAATTGAATTCAGATAATAAACAAGCCTCTCATTTCTCATTTATGAGAAAAAAGTGATTGTAGATTTTACATGTAATATGTTCAGGGAAAAGCCCTGGATGATTTGCCTGCACTGTAAATAATTGAAAAATGTGAACCATTGTTACACAGTGAAAGCAAGTGTATTATCAAAATCAAACTACCACATTTGCAGGAAACTATATTTTAAAATATTTTACTTGAACATTATCTCAAGACCAAAATATTATTAAAACAAACTGCAAATCATAAAGACAGGAAATATTCTCAGAAATAAGAATTACATAGGATGACTATGGTAAACAGGTAAGTTTTGTGTATTTTTGGTATATTACATAATAACTAGAGAAATTTATTACCTGATTCTCTCCTTTTTATTGCTAAAGAAACATCACTGACAGATCAGTGAACTTCAGGAGCAGCATTAAAAATGTCTGAGTTATTTGTCTCATTGGCCGTAGAAAAGAGTCCATAAAAGTCATGTGACAGATCCTTGGATGCTATCTAATATCAGGAGTCTCAGATACATTGCAGGAAAATGAACTTGTCTAGTCTATGTAAGTCCCCAGAATGTAACAGGGAAAGAACATTTCGTGGACTAGGCTTCCACTGGCCTATTTGGATGTTTACGTGTAACACCAATGATCCTTCCACTGTTACTCTGACTTGTGGATATAGAGGGTGGCACGTGTTGACAGATGCGTGGGGAAACTGCATTGCAAGCTGAATGCAGATACTTCGGCTCATTTTCACACCTACTGTCTGTTCACTGCCAGATCTTTACCCGTGTCTTCCACTGAGTGTCTTCAATTCTTTCTGACAGGTGAGCTGCAAGATTTTGCATTTCTTCCACCAGTACATGATGGCCTGCAATTATTTCTGGATGCTTTGTGAAGGGATCTATCTCCACACTCTCATCGTGGTGGCCGTGTTCTCGGGGGAGCAGCACCTGCGGTGGTATTACCTTTTGGGCTGGGGTATGTATCTTCTCCAGCTGTGTTCTGAGCGACCTTCACCTCTGTCCGTAAGTTTACAGTCTTCTTCTGGTCTTGGTCTCAGAGAACAGAGTCAGGGGCCTAGGTCCTTCAAAGAATGATGGGACCAGGTACTGGCAGGAGTTCAGTCCCCAAGACAGCTTGGTGGAAGCCCTTTGACTATTGCAGTCCAAGTGTGATGAACGTGAGGGTCAGCACAGAGAAGAAAGCGTATGACAAGGAGGGAGACTTCAGGAAACAAACGCAGCTGACAGATAGATGCAAAGCGTGTCCTGAGTGAGAGAAGCTCTGACAAGACCTCCTTGCATTTTATTCATCATACATCTGCAGAGCAGAGGAGGATTGCACATTTTGAATTCTGTGCCTCTCCCACCCTGGCCCCATTTCCCCTCCTCAAGAATGCTTCATCCTGTCAGTCTGTCTGTAGGACTCCTCCAGTGCAAGGTCAGGAAGTGGAGTCTAGATGAGAGACGGACACAACCACAGGAGCCTCCAAGTGGAGTCTGCCTGGTATCATAGCACATGGCAATGGCTTTGAAAAGCCCGTGGTTGGATTATTTAAGCTGTGGCTGCTTCTGTACAGTCTGACTAAGGTAGGGTGCTGAGGTCCCCTATGACTCTAGAATTGCTCTCCTTCCCCCAGGGCTGCTGGAAGTCCAGCTCCCTCAGCTGGAAGGGGAGCAGATAGATGGGGAGGCAATGAGACTGAAAGGGGGGGAAAGTGCTGGGACAAAAACACAAAAGTACCAAAAAAAGATACTTGCCTTGAAACTTCCATACCAAAGGAGGAACCTGTGGGCCATCCCACTCTGACTATAGACCCAAGGGCTTCCCTCACCAAGTCCACTGACAGGGTGGCTGTGACTCTCAAGGCAGAGCCTGTGGATGGCCTTCACCTGAGCCTGCCCTTTAAGGCAGCAGGCTTGAGGAACCCCTAAATATATTGGGAAGAGAAGAAAAATTTGGTGAAGAAGGAGAATGATCCAAGGGCTTTTTAAAAACATCAACCTTTATATTTAAAACCCTGCCCAACAGTCATTGTTACCAACTTTATAGAAAAGTGTCTGGGAAGTCATATAAGTATGAGCAGCCTGAAGTCTTTTCCACAAGTCTGTATACGAGGGCTGACCCCATGCAGTGTATGTTCCATAATACCCCTCCCTAACAAGAATGCATGGATTTTAACTAAATACATCGCCTAAACTTATTGAGAGAATCCAATAGTGGTGGGTCAGTGAGGTAAACATGTGGGGTACCTTAAAGTTGAACTGTTGATTCTATGACTCTTTGGTTGCAAATATCAGAGGGCAAGATGTTCCTAGTTAAGCAAAAACAGAGAAACTGTCAGGATTTAGGATATCTAGTGGAAGCTAAGGGCAGAAACACAGCCAAGCTACTACAAGGGCTGTACCTGGGACAAGGTAACCAGTGCACTGTCCTTCTGACTGTGTCCTTGCTGTTCTCTGAGCCTCTGCTTTAACCTTTCTCTTTCTCTACAGACCACAGACCACAGGGTCCCTGCTTCCCCAGTCCTCATGGTAAAAACTTGTACAACCTGACCCAAAGTTTCCTGAGTTCACATTTTTCTGTTCCAGGCACACACACAGACTAAATGCCCATCTGTAAGTCTCAATCCTGAACAGCAGAGCAAGAGAATCTGGTCATTCCAACTGAAGGCAGGTGGCCTGCCCTGGTTCAATGAACTGTGGCCAAGGAAGTTGAGAGGGATATTGTCATATAGAGCAAACATGTCTGGGGATGGGTGGATCATCCAGAAAAAAATGGGAGAGAGATCTTTGTGGACTGGACTGGAATTTGGAATATGCTCCCCAACCACTTCATCTGTGCGGTCTTCTCCCCTATGAGGCGCAGCAGCAGCAACAGAACCCCGCTTCCTTAACCATCCATTGAGGGTAGAAAGCAGCCCCGTGCCTCTCCTACCAGCTCCGCAGCACGTAGCTTCTCCCACCCTCAAACAGGCCAGAATGCAATCAAAATGGCTTTTCATTAGCTATTTCTTTTAGCTCCAGCCTTCCTCAAGAAACTAATCTTTTCTTCCCTTTCCCTTCTCAGCCTCATGCACACCCTCTCAAGGTTTCTGGACTTCCAAAGCTGGTCATGCTAAGAATCAGATGAATACAATTGAATCTCCCCAATAGCAATTGTGATCATCACACTGGTAATAATTGGAGCTGGTCAAATGCTTCCAGTTGAAGATCTGAAAATGACATACCACCCCAGACCCACCACACAAACACACACACACACACACACACACACACACACACAGTTTCTGTTAGATATATTTTACTTATTTCCTTTGAAACTAAATTATGGCATATTCCTTGTATCAGTTTTGACTATTCAAAAACATCTACCTGCCACACTCAGAAAATTTTCCATGGAAAAAAAGGGTTGTAAGTTTATTCTTGCCTATGACATTCAGCAGAGATGAGGGCACCCTGGCAGGAACAATTTATACTGCTCTTTCCATACTGATGCACTGTGAATTGGTTATCAAACTTTTTGGCATCATTGTAGACGGCTCATTGAAGACATCTGCTTAACACACATAAACAATTCAAAGAAAAAATGAACATCCTGTTCAGCTATATCAAAAGGAAGGTAAAGATAGTAAGTAGAATATTTATGTGATACCTTAACCTTCCTTAATCAGCAAATATTTAAAATTTCATCAGAATGATTCCAATAGAATCCTAAAGAATATCACACTTAGTAAAGTAAGCACAGAATGGGGAGTTGCTAATCAATGGGTATAAAGTTTCAGTCATGCAAGATGAATAAATTCTAGAGATCTGCCGTACAACACCTATATTTAATAATATTGTACACTTGAAAACTGTTAAGAGGGTAGATCTCATGTTAAGTGCTCTTATCACAATAAGATAAAAGTTAATATTTTAAAGAAAGAATGAGGGGTTTGCACTTGTGTACATAGATTTTTGGAAGGACAGATAGTCAACGAAACAGTTCTAAAATGTAATTCTTTTAGCATGCCAGAGCTAACCCTTTCTCTACTTCTACACACACACACACACACCCCAAAATTCCACCAAACTCCTTACCATTAAAAAAATCACAGTCCCAAATCTGCACTCTGAGAACAAAATCAAGAGTCAGCTGTGATGACATATTTTAAAGTTATAGCCCTCTCCTCTTAGAACTTTACGCAAATATTATCTTTGGATGGGAGAAAAACAAGTAAAATTACTACCAAATACCTTCTCAAGAGATAGTACTTTCACAGAAACTTTAAAGAATTTAACAAAGCAGAGAAAAAGAAATCTCTACTGTATAATATTTTTATTGTCCTTTTGCAATTCTTTTTACATTAAAACAGTATGATAGTTTCTAAATTTTGCAATGCCAAGAAAAAAAAGTCACAATCTATACTTTGAAAAGATTCTTGAAAGTTGGGCTGCAGAAAATTTGGCCCCAAAAAGTTATGTCCTAGAACATAATTTTGTTCACAGGTGCTGGAAAGGCCATCCATTCATATCGGCTGTGAATAATGTCACCAACTCCAGGATCTGAAAAAACAAAAAGAATATAAAAAAAAATTACAAGATACATTGTCAACGTTACCCTCTGAGTAAACAAGTACCTGGTGGTGAAATTTTCCCCAGAAAATGAAAGAATGGTTCTTTCAGTAATTAGCCTCTTCTGAGTCTGCATGGCACCACTTAGTGGTGGATTTCTCTCACATTGAAGGAACTTTAAATACTGAAGTTCATTTCTCAGAAAAATCAATTATTTTGCAGCCCTCTTCAGACCGATTTTTCACTTTGCTGGTTCCCTGCTTGTTATAAATCAAAGAAAGGAAATTCCCCCCCAAGGACTTTTACACTGAGCAAATAGAATCTGTCTAATCCCCTCTAAACATGGAATTCTATGGTAGAGGATTGTTCTTAACCAGATCGTCTTTGGTGGGAGGAATGGGTCGTTACAGATCTTAGGGCCTGGAGGGAGAAGAGAAAGAGGAAAGGAAAAAACAAACTGCGTGAAAAGGAGCCTCATGGCTGGAGGAAGGCAAAGAGCCCTGGTAGTTAAAGACTGTGGGATCTGGGGCCGGCCCGGTGGCACACTGCTATAGTGCGCCGCTTGGGAAGCGCGGTGGCGCTCCCGCCCAGGGTTCGGATCCCACATACAGACCGGCCGCTCACTGGCTGAGCGAGGGGCGGGAGCAACACCAGAGGGTTGCGATCCCGTTACCGGTCCTGGTCCGGTATGGGTGTGACACTGAGGGTTGCTCCGGTATGGGTGTGACACTGAGGGTTGCGATCCGTTGCCGGTCACAAAAAAAGACAAAAAAAAAAAAGGGAAAAAAAAAAGACTGTGGGATCTGCACTACTCTCTATATTACCTAGGAAACACACTTTTCTTTCTACACAATGATGAGGTGAAATAGAGATCTCCTTATGCCTCTCTTCCTGTTTAAAAATATATTTTTAAATGTGTAAGATATGTATTTTAGAATAAATCCAGAAAATGAGGTTTATTTTTGAACCCACGTGGGGAAATGGTACGTTAAAACTGCTGTGAACAATACGGTCGTGTTTTGTGGAAACAGACAAACTCAAAATTATTTCAGGCCAAATATTTAGTTGATGGTCCTATTGAATTATATGCTTCATGGGTTTTGAAGCTGAGGTTATTCTTAGGTGAAAATTTCAATATTTTGAGACCTCTTTTTGCATATAATTCACAGAAAATAAAAGTATGCAGGTTTAATTCTCTTCTGAGATATATTTCTTAATCTAATAATAACAGAACCTCTTTCTACAGATATCTTAATCAAATCAAACAATATTCTTTTTTGAATAGGTACATCTGAGTAAAAAGAGAATTGTTTTAAATAAAAATCACAACTTCATTTTAGATTACATTTATAGAATGAAAATTGATTTTAAAAAGATGCAATCTGGCAGGATGCATTGCCAGTAACTATGTCCATTGTTCCTTTTATAAATTCAAAGCTGTTTATTACTAGCACTTCAAGTTTAGTCAAGGAAATGGACACTAAGCTGCCTTCATAAAGGTTCTGCAGCAGAACTTACAAAGGGTAATGAATGTACTGGCTTCTCTGAAGCGTTCATATTAAAAAGAAACAGGGTCAATGCACATGATATAAATAGGCAGAAAAACAGAAAGGCTGGAAGAAATAATATGAACATCAACTAAGGTTTTAGGAACAATCAGACGATCACTTCCATACACTGTGTCAGGTCACATTCCTCCAGGATGACCCAGCTCCTGTCCATGAGAGAGCCCAGTTCACCCACAATGAAAGGCTTTCTGGTGCCATTTAATAGTTATCATCATCATTGTCATCATCGTAGTAGTAATATTGTCAATAGTGGTAGTAATATTCACAGTGAGAGTAATAACGTACCTACCCCACTGAGTAATTTGTGAAAGGCTTCTGATTATCTGGATGCTCTGAACCAAGCTCTTGATGCACATGATCTTCTAACCAGTAGCAGTTTTACCTGGCTTGACCAAAGACAATTTGCACAAAAACATTGGGAGACTATCTTAACAGACACACTAAATTTGCCACTATTTTTACAAGCAAGCTACCATTTTCACGCAACTGTAATTGTAACTTATGACCAAGAAACCAAACATGATTTGTACTTTTCACATTTTTAGGGTTCCCACTGGTGCCAACCACTATCCATGCTATCACTCGAGCACTGTACTTCAATGACAAGTAAGTACCATGGTGGTTTTTAAGTTAACATATTCATAAATAAAATGCATTTGTATTGATGTGTCCCTCCCCTTTTCTTCAGCTGCTGGCTGAGTGTGGAAACCCACTTGCTTTACATAATCCATGGACCTGTCATGGCGGCATTGGTGGTGAGTATTGGTTTTTAAATTCATTACGAATAGTGCTATCTTTGTTAGGATTTCTGTGAGCGTGGTTCAATGCAGCATATGTATTGTAACTTCAAAATGAAGCTAACTTAATGATATTCCATACTAGGAGAAACAATTTGATTTTGAAGTCTTCAAAAAATGTATTTTATTTACACATGGATGAGGGAGTGCCATGAGCTCATTTTCATACATACCATAACAGCAATGTAGCTTATTTTTTAATACTTCTATAACTAGACTGGGTAAAGGTGAAGGCCAATGTCTGCAGGAATGGTGAAAAGGTGTTTCTGATAAAGACAATGAGATGCCATAAGTATGTCTTCCCCTGTACCTTTTTTCTCTAGTCCTACAAAATAAAACCGTCTTCTATTTCATCTTTGGACCATCATCATAACTACCCCTGGTCACACACTTAAATATTTCAGTTTTACATACATTCCCATGCCATTTCTAACAGCAACCTTCTCAAGTAGATATATCAGGACATTTTGGTCTTCAGGAAAACTAAACCCAAAGACTACAATAATCTCACTCAAAATCACAGGACTAGTAAAAAGCTGGGTGCAGGGGGTGGGGAGAGGATGGAGAATGTGACTGTCTGAGTCTGAATCCAAATTCTTTATTTCTACCCATGGTTTATTACATGTTGGTCAGCATCAGAACCATCAAATTTAGTATTTAGGTATCGTTTTTCCCATTGACCTTAAGGAACAGTGTTTTCTTCAGATAAGAGTGAAAAAAAGAAAAATGGTCTTGAATCATAGACCATGTCCTGCCCCTGCATTGAGGAAGCATCCATTAGTAACTGATCAAATTGGGTTACCATCCAGACTGTCTTCTTACTTTCCCGGCCTTTCCAACGGATCTTAAATGTCTTTTACCATTCTTTAGAGTACTGACATTCTCACCAGCCCAACTGTCCTCTCAAAGACACACTGACATGGGTCTTGAACCTTTACAACACACCGTAGGGTTCAATTATTACCAAAGGCCTCTTTCCTTTCTTGAATTTTTTTGGCATTAACATTTATTTCTATTCCAGGTAGAAAAATCATTCTACCATTTTAAAATAAACTGTCAATTAAATTTTTAAAACTTTAGTTTCAAAACTAACCTTTATAGGCAAAAACAGTTGTGATCAGAAGATGTCAAATTTCTATTTTTTGTTTATACTTAAAGGGCTTTTGCCACTGTGTCCATCGGTCTGGTAGAGATCATGTTTCATATCAAAATAAAATTAGAAAATTAGATGTACCCTTCAATTTCTCCAGATAGCTAATAAGTACACTTAGGTCTTATGAACCGATCTATCTAAAGTTTATCAAATATTTTAATTTATATTTTATATTTTGGTGTTGTATAAATGGTCTTTAGTTGGTATTAAGTGTCTTTTCTAGATGGGCATCTTGATGCTCCTGAAAAAAATTCTTACCATCTTTGGTATACAGGGAAATTTGCTATGTAACATTTATCTTCCATCTAGTGTTTCTGCTTAAGAGAAGCTTGTCTGTGTTATGAGCATCTAGATCTTTGAAAAAATTTTCAATTTATCGAGTCTTCTTTGATATACCACAGCTCTAAAAAGTCTTTGGTTCTGTGAACTTGAGTTCCAGCAGTTCAAACGTCCAACACAAGCTCAATTAGTGAGTTAGTAACAAACAGTGGACTCACAACCAAATGTCATATTCTTATGGTGGACACCATTGTTTTACTTACCTAGGATACAGGAGACTTGGCTCCATGTCCTAGCTCTATCATCTAACAGCTCTGAAAATTTTGATAAATTAACCTAAAAATGTTTCCTCCTTATATATGGAAGGAGTTTGATTAAATGATTCTCAGGTACTTTTCAGAGATAATCTGTCATTTTCATTCTAAGTCACTAAAACTTTGTACTGCTTCATTTCTTTATCTGTTAAAAATAACTGGAATAATAACTGCTCATAAATTCATGTTTATAAAATGTCACCTAATAGAATACTTTATTATTATTATTACAAAATGAAGTACATATTTTAGCAATTATTCCTATACTCCCAATTCTAAAACAAATATTTCTTGCCTTAATTATCTAGAAATTTTGAAGGAAATGTGGATATTAGGATCCAAATTATAAATTGTGTGTGAAGATTGTCTACATATGAGGGTACTTCAAAAAGGTCATGAAAAAATGGAATTGAAAGACAATACAAATCTCTCCGTGAACTTTTGAAAGTGCCTTTGTACTCTACTTCAGTGCAAATGATTGTAAATTAGCAGAAAGTGATGTATTTGTAATGCTTCTTAATTTCATGACTACAGGAAATGCACACTAGTACCACATAGTCCAAAAATTTTTTTAAAGATTTAGCAATTAACAAGGTAAATCATTTGCACCTGGAGTAGGTTATCTTTTCCCCTTTGAAAGAGCTGCCCACACAGTTAGGGACAGCAGCACTTCAGAGCAGAGGAAGGAGAGGGTCAGTTGGATATACAAATAGGAAAAAATATCAAACACATGTTTAGTAATTGTATATATGGGAGAAAGTAATCTTAACTCCTTCCACAACTGACCACAAAAAATAAATCCTAGGTGAATTGTAGGTTTAAATGTGAAAGGCAAAATAATAGAGCCACTAGAAGAGAACTTAGGTGAACATCTTCATGAGTTTGAGATATGAAAAGATTTCTAAAGCAGGATTTTAAAAAAGCACTCAATTTATTGATAAATTGACCACGTTAAAATTAAGACAATAAGATGAAAAGACAAACCTCAGAGTCCAGGAAGCTAGTTGCAATATTCCAAATAAAGAAAAATAAATTTATGGAAAGCTGCTCAACCTCATTAGTCATCAGAGAAATGCAGATTAAAGCCACCATGAGGTAACACTACACCCCCACCAGAGTGGCTAATATTAAAAACAGTGACCATACCAAGTGCTGGCAAGAGAGAAGAGCAACTGGAACTCTCATATATTGCTGGAGGGAACATAAAATAAAACCACTCCTTTGGAAACACAATTTGGCAGTTACTTATAAAGTTAAACGCACATTTACCATATGAACAGGCAATTTCACTCCTTGATGTTTATTCAAAAAAAATGAAGACATATGTCCTCACGAGCAGTTGTATGCAAATGTTCATGGCATCTTTATTCATAATAGTCAAAAAGTGGAAACAACTCCAACTTCCATCAAAAGAAAAATGAATAAACAAATTATGTGTATTATTCATATAACAGTAATCACTATTATATAGTATATAGTAGCAATCACTACTCAGCAATAAAAATAAATGAGATGTAATATACACAACATGGATGAATCTCACAGGTCATATGTTAAACCAAAGAAGCCAGACACAAAAGAGTACATACTCTATAATACTTCATTTCTATGGTAATAGGAATTAGTGGTTGTTTGAGGTGGGGGTGTGGGGAGGGGTGTTGACTGCAAAGGAGCTGGAGGAAACCTGGAGTGAAGGAAATGTCCCTTATCTTCTTTGGAGTGGTTGTTACACACATGCATACATTTGTCTAAACTTCTCAAATGCACACTTAGAGCCTACACATTTTATTGAATGTAAATTATACCTCAATGAAGTTGTTTTATTTTTAAAATGTTATTTTAAAAAGAAGCTTTTTTAAATAAAAAATATGTATGTTTTTACTAATTGAAATAGTGAAAATTACTATGTGGTTTCTTATCCAAGAAGGAGGAATGTAACACCTAAGTCCATAATTTTCTCCATATTCCATTAGGACCTGCCATGAAGAAGGCAGAAGTGAAAGTTCTCCACTACATAAATTTTACAGATAAAATTTTCAGTTCTCATTTCACTTTCAGTTAAGCAGTCCTGGCCAGGTAGAAAATTTTGATAATGAAAAGACAAGAAGGCAAGATCTAAAAGTGTTGTTTATAACTCCCCTTTGTAAAAGTTATAAAAATCAAAACTCATTAGAGTTCCACCTAATATACTTACATGTATAGGAAAAATATTTTCTCATTTAGGAAAAAAAAATATCAATACAGGTCTGAAAAGTGTCTGATTATATTGATGTTTGGAGTCCCAGGATGCTGAGCAAATTGTGCTATATCTCAGGTGGTCTCTCGTGTTGTGTAGGTGACATCTATCACCTACACGGGACAAACAAAAATTGAGGGCCGTGGGTATCCTTAAGTGGAGCTTATTTAGATAATTTGCTCATAACATCACATCTTTGCAGGTCAATTTCTTCTTCTTGCTCAACATTGTCCGTGTGCTTGTGACCAAAATGAGGGAGACTCACGAGGCAGAATCGCAAATGTACCTGAAGGCTGTGAAGGCCACCATGATCCTTGTGCCCCTGCTGGGAATCCAGTTTGTCGTCTTTCCCTGGAGACCTTCCAACAAGATTCTTGGGAAGATATATGATTACTTCATGCACTCTCTGATTCATTTCCAGGTAAGGAAGCCAACAGTATATTGATTCAACTGCTTGTTCAGCTAGTTGACCTATCTAACTCTAAAGCCACGATCTTAAATGTTGCAACACAGACTCCAATTCAGTAGGCCCAGCCAAAGTTCTGAAGGAAACCAGGTTTTTGAGTAACTTTCTTGCTTCCACTTTCTGTGCCTGCTTCCCCATTACTCCCAGGACCTTCCACTGGTCCCACCCAGGCATATTCTCCCTGGCCACCCATACAGTAATTGTCAGACCTTTCTTTTACAAATTAATGTGGACTCTGGGTAATGGGGAGTAATGAATTTGCACAGAGCTACTCATCCCTCCTGCTCTGTCACCCTCCATTTGTCAGGTATCCATCCATGACAGTTCAGTGACTGTAAAGGAAAACTGTATCCTGGTCACTCCTCATGTAGGAGAGAATGGAATGGGCTCTCGGTGGCTGTCCTGGGCTGCCCAATTTCCATTCACTCTGCACCAGATCCAAAACCTCCTTGAAGGCACAGTGCTAGCTAGGTATTTTGAGAGCAAGGTAGGGCATGTGGGGGAGGAAGGAATCCTAAGGTAGAGATAATTCTACCACAGGCTCTTAGGCCTGAGTTTTGCTTTCTCAACTACAAATTTCAAATTAGATGTATTTTCTACCACTGCGGCTTAATGTGAAAAGAAGATCAAATTAACAGGGATAAAATAAAAATGTAGGGATTGTTTAATAATCTAAGCTATTGATTGGCCATAATTAAAGCCTGGGCACAAGAAATGTTTTGAACAGTGACTGGTACTTAGAGATTGCTTAGTCCATGTCCCTCTTTGAGAGATGAACTTGGCTGTGAGTACAGTATTGCACTGGTTCACCGTAACAGCACAAGACACAGTCAGGCCCACAGCCATGCACTTATAATTGTAAAAGTTGACTGAACTCTATGGCATCTCAGTTTTTAAATTTCTAAGTATAAAAATTCTTTTCAAATCTTCTACAATCAGCATATTCTGCTATGAATCTCCATGTTAAAGGAAGTGATATATTAACGAGATCTACCAAAGCTATCCTTTCAGCCAAAATGATAGAATCCTAACAAGAAAAATACATTTTTAATGGAATATCCTTGGAATGCTGCACGGAATATGAGTAGTAGCTAATTCTTTTTCTTGCCCTTATATTTCATCAAGCCTTGACTTGCTAATGCAGGAGTGGAATATTCCTCTCAGGTAGTTGATTACTAAACAACATAATGCACACAAAAATAATTTCAACTCTATTTTTCCTTCTCTTTTTAGGGATTCTTTGTCGCGACTATCTACTGCTTCTGCAACAAGGAGGTAAGCATGCATTTCATACAATACTATATCACTTGTTTGTACAAAGCCAGCATTTTACAGTTTCCAAAGGGCCTCCACGCACATTTCATTTGATCTCATTTCTACAGTTGGCCTCACAGGGTTTCATTACTAGCAAGATTGTGTTTTTTCCACTTCTCCAAGCTGAATCTTATCTCTGGACATGTGGTATAATTGCAAATATTATCCAGACAGGCAGCTAAGTTCTAATTTCCTTGGGTTGCATCTTGAGCCAGTCAGCTCCCCTAGCAGCAGTAGTGAAAGCTATTCTGGATCTCATAGAAGGAGAAGTCATTGCCCTATTCTCTTTGGGAGACATAAGCCCTCACTAGGGCAGAGCCAATATCCAGCCAGTTTGTGCTAGTTCACCGCCTTATTTCCCAGCTGCTTGGTGCTAGTATCGTAGCACTTATTCAACAGTTTGAAAATCACCTTAAAGTGAAGGCTCAAAAATGATTCTCAAATAAATAATCTATTACCTGAATGCTTTGGTCAGTAGAACCTAGAGATCCATAAAGCCAGTATTCTAAGGGATTTTTAACCACAGTACCCTTTCTTCCAAAGAAATCTTGCCTGACAGCCCAATTTATAAAAAAAATAAACATGCTATAGCCCCCAGAAGTTCTTCCAAAGGACTTCCAGGGTTTCAAGGAATGTGATTCAAAAGCTCCCTCATTTTTCAGGTGAGAAGTCTAAGCTCCAGAAAGATCATGTGACTTGCCCCAGGTTACAAATGTAGATGTGTTTATAACTAGGACTGGAACCCAGATTTCCTGATTCCCAATTAAATTAACTAAACCCCAATTAAATTATCTCTATTATTTCTCCCTGGAGCTTTGTTAGTATGCTTTCACTAGGACAACATAACTTTTAAGACAAAAGTATTTTTAAACATTCAAAATTAATTCCTATTGAGAATAATTCTATACAGAGCAAATCACATTTTGTTAAGACATCAACATATTATTTTCCTGTTATTAATTAGAAATATTTTCAAACCATTATCAAATGATACTCAATTCTCTATTCTTTACTTCTTAGTAAAATAATATTTAGTGATCACCTAAAGCATTTTGCTGCTCTGTGACATGTTACCCATTTCTGACCCTGACATGGCAAAATTTTTACTGTTCCTATTCACACTTTTCATTGGTATATTTTATTCTTTCTCTCCTTTATCCATTTATCCATCAACTCCTTCCTTCATTTGCCAAAAATATATTGTGCATTTGCTATTGCTAAGGACCAGACTAAGGTCCTGGATAAAAATAGAAAGACATCTTTCTGTTGCCAGCTTTTAAAGTGTCTCTTTGAAAACAATAAAAACTAATAAATGAGTAAAGCTTGAATCAGCCCATGTTTATATCACTTTCTGCAAATGTATATCCGTGCTTTTTGAGTTTTTTCAGATGGCATGCAAAATAAATTTTTTCGTCTAAAATAAATATCTAAAACTCAGGGCTAAAACTCAGGCTCAGGAGGAACATGCCTTGAAAAGCACAAAAGGATTGCATCCTTTTGTAAAATACCACAGTATTTATTGTGTTTTAACTATGGTGCTGTCATTGGAAGTGTCAGACATAGACGGCAAACCCAGGAGTACTCTTCACAATTAAATGTCTTGAATTCATTTGAGCATGTTATCCTCATTTTTTGTTATAAAGAAAACATTTCCAATTTCATTAAGATCCCGTTACTGGGGGAAGGTATAAGTATGACATTTCTAAAAATATAGAAATTGTGTACAGTGCCAAACACAATATCACAGCCCCACGGTTTTAGGCATCTGGGTCTCAGCTGGGCATTCTGTGAGCTTATCTCCTTACAACACTGAACACGGGCAGGGCACTCACACATGCAGCAAGTTATTTCCAGCTGCATCTGAGATAGGGCTGTGATGGGACTTTGACTGGCTGAAAGTTGAGTTTTAGCAGAAATCTGGGGGACGAATATGTCAGTTATGCAATGGTCAAATGAAGATTTTAATTTTGATTTATTATAGGTATGTTATCAGTGATTCCTATTTGAAAATGGATCATATAGAGGGTCAATGGACAGACTAGAAGCAGGGAAGGAATTTGAAGAATTAAAGTAATAGAAATCAGAAGATGACCATGAGAGCATACTTATGGATCAAGCATTTCCTGTAACAAATCTTCCAGGTGTATAGACATTGACTATCCAAACATATCGGTAAATTATTAGGTATCTGAGAGATCTCAAAAAGATGATTGCAGCTATAAAGATGCCCAATTTGTTTTCAGGGAGTAGCTTAGAACTGAGAATACTTATAATACACTGGATACTTTCCCTTTTTCATGTTTCTTGCTATTGCCAATGCATTGTGGATAAAATAGTTTGTAGATCAAGTAGCATGATCAGAAGGCTCTCAATTTAACAGTCACAAACTGGAGTGTGCAAAAACTAAAACTTTGTTTATTTACTGTAACTTATCTTGCTTCCAAGAGTCCATTTCATCAGCTTCTAGTAGCTTTCAATAGTCTCTTTATGGAAAATATTCAGTCAGTTTAAAAGCCTTTGTCCCAAAGTAAAGCTGGTTACCAATATTAATGCCAGCACCCGCTGTTGAAGTTCTTGGTGGCTTCTGAGGACCCTAGAGTTCCTTTCACTCTGTAGCTTCCTTGATTAAGCCATAGCCCTATTCTGATTCACCACTTTTCTTCTAAGTCACCTAGGAGCCTAGGAACTCCAGTTCCTTTCTTCACACTATGTAGAGTTCAGTACATGCCACAGCCATTGCCATGCCACTGCGGGGACCATGCCACCACGTTACATGTGGAGTCAGGGCAAATGCAGGACTTCTTTATAGGGCCATCCATTTTCAGGACTGTGCTCTCAGAATCAAAAAAAAGACCTGCTATGACGGGGGATTCCAAAGAAAGCAAACTATCTCTTGCTTTCTTTCTTCTCCCATTTTCCCAGGTCCTCTCACCATGGAGGGAATTGTGAGGTCATTTGTGTGTGTCTCTCTCCTCTTCCTCTCAGCACTCACCACTTCGCCTTCCTGTCTGTAAGGGACTCTCCCTGTATCCTGTCCTACATGCTCTCTACACTATGACTTTTATTTAAATCCTATTTTCAGAACAGTAAGCTTTTCACCATATTTGCAAAGAGAGGCTTTTTTACTTAGAAATTCTCTCCCTCAGAAAAGCCTGGTTTTCAAGACTGTTGTCTTTCTAGAGACTCAAGAAAGTCAGCTTTGGGACTCAAAGCTACACAACCATTTCTTTGTTCTAGACTGGTATTCTCAAACTTGAGTGTATGTCGGAATCACCTGGAGAGTTCATTAAAACACAGATTGCTGAGCCCCCACTAGCAGAGTCTCCTATTCAGTAGGTCTGGGATGGGGCTTGAGAACTTGTGTTTCTGACAAGTTTCCAGGGGTGCTTATGCTGCCTGTCCAGAAGCCACACTTTAAGGACCACTATTCTAGACAGAATCTAACTTGTTCTTCAAGCAATGAATGACCTTGACTTAATGATGGGGTAGACACAGGGAGATATTATTTTTAAAAATTAAGAAATACAATTGTTAAATATGTTTTCAAACTTTTAAAATTTATTACAAATGATATTTATTGTCCTTTAGAACAAGAAATCTTCCCCAAGCATAGGAAAGTAAGTAATAAAAGAGAATTAAAAGCCAATCTTGTAATCATCAATTACCCAATTATCTCTAGCTATAGAGCATATAAATTATTTTAGATAAAACCAGAAATCAGTAGAGATGTTGCTGATATGTGCTCCAAAATGGTGAAAAATGTATCAGTACCAACTTTATAAATAATATTCAGAAGTATCCCTAAGCATTTAAATAATAGGGTTAATAAGGATCCAGCTACCAAAAGTTCATGTAAAGCTGTTTAAAGTGTGCAATTACTTTGTAACTTCCAGGTGAACTTATGCTTTTAAAATCATGATTTTTTTAAAATTCTAAATTCATATTGCAGCAAGTCAGTTGGATTGTAGTGGCCAAAAGTAAAGAACTGAAAGAGCTGGACTTAAAATCATTTTATTCATTGGATGAAAGCTCCTGAGAAAAACCTCACCTTCCATTCACCAGTACATAACTACAGGTGCTTATGATAACCCTTTTTTTGTGTGTGACCGGTAAGGGGATCGTAACCCTTGGCTTGGTATCGCCTGCACCACGCTCAGCCAGTGAGCACACTGGCCATCCCTATATAGGATCCAAACCTGCAGCCTCGGCGCTCCCAGTGCCACTGCGCTCCCAGCACCGCACTCTCCCGAGTGAGCCACAGGGTCGGCCCGCTTATAATAACCTTGATAGGAAAAGAAAAGCAAAAGTCAAAAAGATTCAAACTTAACCATGAAGATTCCAACCTGAGTTTCATTTTTTACAGATATAGGAACTGAGGCCTAAACATACTAACCATACATGATAATAATAAGAATTATAGTTCATAATAGAGCCAGGTGTAACATTTGTCTTCAAACCATCAACTAGGGCTCTATTTTTAAAAGCTGGCAATAAATAAACTGATATAATCAGGAAAAAATGTAAAGTGATTTATGTTTCTTGCTTTTTTAATGAGTGATGTATTTATTTAATTCAAAACTTTGCCATTTATGACAACTCCTAACATTTCTGTTGCTTTTGGGGAGCAACAAGTCTCCCTGTTTTTTTCAGACTCAATGTCTTTGTTCTTGTCATCAAAGCACTGTCAAGCTTAACCTGTGGTTTCATAGGAGATATTGCCATAGTTAAGCTGTAATCATTGAAGTGTCATTTACATGCTGCTGAGGGCCTGTTCTTATATGTGTGGTTTACAAATTGAAGTCGATTGCCATCCCCACACTATAGGATGAGTTATAATTTTGGAATGCAATTAGAGAAGGCTATGAACCATTCTGTAATAATAACTATAAAAAATTAAAATAGACTTCAAACCCTTTGGCCTCATGCTGGGCTGGGTATTTAATTAATATGCTTGGAGATATTATGATGGAGATTATTTTAAAAGGACAGGTAAGGCAAAAACAAAGATTTTTCTTTTTTTTCCTGCTGAGCTTCATTAGGGACTGTGGCTGGGCCACATTCCAGCTGTCTAGCCACAGACACATTATATAACCTCATCCCTCCACCCTGCCTGTAAAGTGAAAATAATAGTAATGCCCTTCTCATAGGGCTGTTGTGAGTATTAAATAAATTAATACAAATCAAGCCACATGTAATATGGCACATGATAAGCACTCAGCGAATAGTGGCTAAAATTCTTTATGCCGTCCTTTGTTCCCCTGTGTGGCTTTTGTCAATTAAAGTTCAGTTGCATGGCACACTTCACTCAACAGTTGGAATTTTTGTCTTTGTCTCTTTTAAATAAAATTCAAGGTAAAGTGCTTTGCACCCAAGCACTTATCACCTCCAAAGGGAAAAAGAAAAAAGAAAAAAACAGGGCTGTTGCCTCAGTAATTCAAAGAGTCTGATATTCCAGATCATTACATTGCCTAATTATTCTGATTCATTTGTCATCTTGAACCTTAGAGTTGCTCTGCTGTTTGAAAATGAACATGTCCAGCTCTAAGTTCCATTCCCCCTTGACCTTCTTTCAGGGAATCATTTGACTTTGCTGTCTCCTGAGTAAAGTCTTTAAAATTATATAATAAGCACTAATAATTACCAGGAGAGATTTTTTACTCTACTATATGCAGAAAAAAATGTATTTGCCATAGAAACATTTAGCCTTATATAAGGGTACTTCAAAAAGTTCATGAAAATGGAATTAAAATACAAATCTTTCCATGAACTTTTTGAAGCCCCCTCATACACATAGCTTTATAACATTAATAGGTTTTGCTGTCATTTTTAATCATCTTTCAGATTCATACAAATAAGAAGTAGATGAAATGACTCTCTATGATCAACTAGTTACATGATTTATCCGTTATTCCCAGATTCTTTCTCATGTGTTTACCTGTTATATTCATGTTTGGCAGCAGAATAAACTAAGAATGTGATGATAAATTGATACAAATATTTTCTATGTAAGCTTGTCTTATGTACTCAGCAATAGAAACTCTCAGAAATACAGAATAGATATTGGAGCGATAATCTCTTATTTTTTAGTTTTGTTCAGCTGTAGAGAAAAGGAAGCTTGGAGACAACAGGAAGGATGAACTTCACTGCTAGACTGAATTCAGTTCTGTAAAAAGCAAAGCTGGACAAGCCAATTCACTGCCTATGTTGTTTTCAGTTGTGGTTACTGTGGTTTTCATAGTTAGAGCTTCCTGACTTTAGCATCTTCTCCACCTCTTATGTTCTGTACATATTATAAAACAAGTTTGGTAAGTTTGTGTACACATGAGAAGTCTTTCAATAGAAAGAGATTGAAATCTTATTCTCAAAATGTCATCACTGCATTAATTAGAGTTTTACCTAGCATCCCATCTCAAGCCATGTTGGATAATCCACATAAAATCCAAAACTGTGCTATGGTTTAAGTATATATTTTCACGACCAATAATACGTAGTTTTAGTTAAAATCTTCTGCCTTATCAGGGGTGGTAGCAGATAAAAAGTTCCTTAAACCTTTCTCCCTAATATGATATGTGCCCCACATCGTGAAACCAAATCAACTTTCATTCATTGGATATAAAAGCTGAAGAAGAAACCTTTGCTCAAAAATAGCAGATAACCTTGCAGCGGTAACTTAGGCAAGTAGCTCATTTCTCCAGTTTGCAAATTCATCTTCCAAGGTGGTGCATCTATTCCATGGCCACAACCTCTTAGATCGGAATTACAAGTTAACCTCTAATAAGCTCCAAAGATGGTGCTCCCAAACTTTGCTTGGGTCATTTCTGACAATCATTTGAAAACAAGGCTTCCTTTCTCTTCCAGGTCCAAACCACCGTGAAGCGCCACTGGGCGCAACTGAGAATCCAGTGGGACCAGCGGTGGTGCATCTATTCCATGGCCACAACCTCTTAGATCGGAATTACAAGTTAACCTCTAATAAGCTCCAAAGATGGTGCTCCCAAACTTTGCTTGGGTCATTTCTGACAATCATTTGAAAACAAGGCTTCCTTTCTCTTCCAGGTCCAAACCACCGTGAAGCGCCACTGGGCGCAACTGAGAATCCAGTGGGACCAGCGCTGGGGACCCCGCCCCTCCGCCCGCTCCACTGCTCGCGCTGCCGCCTCTGCTGAGGCGGGTGACATCCCTGTTTACATCTGTCATCCTGAGCCTGAGCCGAGGAATGAGCCAGCTGGCAACGAAGGCGAGCGAGGTGCTGAGCTCATCCCTCTGAATATCATCGAGCACGAGTCATCCGCTTGAACGTGAAGCAACCACAGCATCGTGATCACTGAGCCTTCATTTCCTGGGGGAAAGATAAACCATGCATTTAAAGTGATTCCCCATCCTCCCGGGAGCTGAGCACATCATTTGTGAAGAATTGTTCAGTGAATTTGTCCATCGTAAATTTGAAGAAAGTGATTCTTGGTACTATTGCTTTGGGAGACAGTCTAGGAATGGAGTCTCCCACTGCAGCTCGTGAACTCCATCATTCATCCAGGACTGAGATGCAGATGCCACAGTCGTGCAAGCAAAGTTTCCAAGAAAAACACAATTAAATTGACCGAGTTCAGATACAGGGTGCTCCTTGTTAACCTTGAGCCATTTATACCTTTGAAAAATTAAAACCACTGTCAATATTTTTCTTTTGAACTCTAGATTTTAAATTAAGACATTTCTGTATTTGGCTATGGATCTGATTTTTTATTTTTTTTATTTCAATCAATTCTGATGTTACTCAGATGTTTTACCATTCATACAATGTAAACTGCACAAATTACATGACCTCCACAAGACAAAGTGGCTTTCTAATATAAAGATGACGAAGCACGTAGGGAAAAAGCATTTGGCAGGAAGATGTAACTCTTTGAATGAAAAAGAAATTTAGAGTCAATTTGCTGGAAATATTATGTGGTCAGCTTGGTTTAGTGTAATTCTGTCCACTGGGCGGGCCCTAACTACTGTAAGCAATTAATGTTGAATGTGCTTTGTTTGCTAACTTTTATAAATTGGGAGGTCACAAAGAATCCATAACTAAATTTTTCACAAAACTGCCAAAAATATAATTTTTAGGGAAGAGAATACTCTTCTTTAAAGAGTGTTTTCCACTTTACTAAACACCAGGATTTATAAAGCAAATCACTCCAAGGTTTATAAAGCAGATTACCTCTTGCCCTTGGGTGCTATCTAGCAGTAAAAGATAAATTTGTTTAAGACTGATAATTAAAAGACTCCATATAAGTCCATTAACTGCCTTCCACCCAGCTTCAAAGCTTAACGAGATCTCAGTCTTTTCCCAGAAGATTCAGCAGAGCTAATTTGAAATTAGTTTGTAGTTGACCTCTTGTTTGCTGCTATTAGAAAAGCAGGAGGAAAAAACATAACTGCTACAAGTTTAACCATATATCAATTCATGTTAAAATAAAAATAGAGTTTCTCATTAAGATCCAATATTATATTCCCACATATTTCTTTACTCCCCACTATGAGATCTTTGGAAATCCTTAAAAAAACCGATATTATTACTGGCACCTGAAATTAATTTGTGAGTTTGAGACAGTCATCACAGTTATCATTATTTAATTTGTATGCTAAATGAGGGGATACATGGAAGCCCTCCAAATCTCAAGTCTCCTCTGTGTCGTCTTCTGCCACTGCCTTTGAGAAGTGGTTTGTTGTGGAAAGACAATAAATTGATTTGTTCTGATTGTATATTTAGTGCACCTAGAGAAAACTATATTTCTTGAAAGAAAATGTATTTTGGATACTAAAGTCCCCTTTACAGAATGTAAGGGAGGAGTTAAAAAGAAGGTATTTTTTCACTCACAGTGTTATTAGTAATGTTCCTATTTTTGTTTACAAACATGGAAAACAGAGTATTTCAGGCAGCTCTCGTACAAATGTGATAATAGATTGCTGGTCTATTTTAGATGTTATTGTGCTAATATAGTAGGGGCTGAAGAAAACAAAATTGCTTCTAATAGAATTGCACATACTGCCAAAATTATGTGAAACGCTTGTGCTGTGTGTATGTATAAATTAATACAGAGTATGTTAAAAGCAAAAAGATGTATATTTGTATATTTTTCTAAAGAAATATATTATTCATCTTTTCATTCATTCATCTCGTCTCTGCTCATTCCATGCTCTTTTCCATTTCAGCCCTGGGCTACTGACATCCCATCTTGATTGTACTGCAGGAGTGGAAAAATAGTCTAAAAGTATAGGTTAGAGACCACATGCAAAAGTACCAAGGTTATTATCTTTATTAGTGTAACCAGCTTCAATCTTCAATTTGAATGTAAACTCAGTGGCACAGTTCTCATACCCTTGATGACACAAAAACCACATACAAGTGTCAAACATAAGATTGGGAAGCATGGCAAAGAAACCTAGGGCAAGAAAGTATCATAACTTTTATTGTTCTTGTTTTTTTCATTATTCTGAGACCAGACTTGATCTGCCCAACATCTCATCAGATCATTACAATAGTTACAATCATTGATTTTTAATATAGTTGGGAGAGAGACGAAGGGTAGATAAAACACAACTAATTAAATATCATTAGAAAACATGAAGGCCACTATTAGGAAGATTATCAGATCTGGAAAGCATGAAATGGAAAAAATGAGGATTAAATGATTAGATGGACTAATAAAAGGGAACAGGAGCAATTTGTAGGTTCTTCACAATATGTGATAGTATCCAAAATTGTTGCCTTATGAGATCTGGGGAACTTTTTTTAGAAAGATACATAGGGCTACGTCTTTCCCTTTATGTTACATAAGGTAATACAAATAGATGTTGTTATCCTTCTGATCTTGAAGAACAAAAGTAATTTCCCATTATACCATAAAACCTGATTCTTCAAGAGGATAACTTACATTTAGATGGTCAGCTGCCCACCTACTTTGATCCCTATGACAAAGTGATCCAAAACAGGCCTTTGGGTGCACATGAATATCATGCTGCCTGAAGGAAGGAAAGATGTCAGAAAAGACAAGAGAAAAATACTATCACTGTGGAGCTACAACCCTTCACATTCATTTCTTCATTCATTACTCATTGATTCAATAGATATTTCATACATCTTCCATCCTGCTATAAAACAAATCTTTATTAATAGTAGCTATCATGGCAAAATTTCTTTGCAGGGGTGACTGCTGCTTTTCTGTGTCAGTGGTAAAAATCAAAACCTGCTAAGTGAAGCACTCTAAAACCATAGCCACTGATATCTTTGGGGTTGATGAACAAAGTGACACATGTGCTTTGTGGTGGGAGCTGAGTAGGATCCTCCCTCCTCGTTAGCACTGGACAGGAGAGCTCCGGCTATAAGAATATTCTCCAAACAAGATCTCTGCTTAGCGAGGACTCATTTTCTTGACAAGTTCTAAAATAGTGGTTCTTCCATTAGATAGATTACAGCTCAACTGCTTATCACAAGAGTTAACACATTAGGGGCCGGCCTGGTGGCACACTGCTACAGTGCGCCGCTTGGGAGCGTGGTGGTGCTCCCGCCGAGGGTTCAGATCCCACATACAGACCGGTTCCCGCTCACTGGCTGAGCGAGTTGCGGGAGCAATACCGAGGGTTGCGATCCCGTTGCCGGTCCCAGTCCGGTACGGGCGCGACACTGAGGGTTGCAATCCGTTGCCAGACACGAAAAAAGACAAAAAGGAAAAAAAAAAAAAAGAGTTAACACATTAGGGTTTAAAATGAGATTATTCATAAAAAGGAAAGATCAGAAACCATATTTTAAAAATATGTTATTTTGCTATTTGAAAGAAGAAGCAAGGTGTCTTGCTCCCAGCTTAAGCTTAAGAAAAATTGATTCTACTGAACTAATAACTTATTCAGAGAAAGGAGGGTACAGGAAACAATAACTGAAAACATAAAAGGGATGATAATATGTGCATGTGAGGGCAAAGGAAGGTATGGAAAGCACATTTGAAAATTAAGAACTGACTATATTTCTGATGATTTTTGTACTTCTGGATATGGAATTAACATCTTTTTAATATCTCTCAATAATATGAAGCATTGAAGGAGAGAAAACACAGCCACTGAAACTGTAACTAATGCAGGTCAGGAAGATTTTTTAATATATCTTCCTCCATTGGGAATAGCAAGCATCTCTAAAAGATCTCAGAGATTTTCCAATATCTTAAGCATTGGTCCATCAGTCTCTTATATCACTGATCAATGTCCATTTTCTATTTACAGAAGTGCAATGCTTTCTATTTAACTTTCCCAGAAACCCTTTCACTGAGACTCAAACTGTGCTGTCCCTCTTTGCCTATTGACCAGCAATGCCAATTCATGTCACTACAGTTTCCTTTGCTTAAGAAACCTCTAACTTTAATTTGGAGAAATTGCCTTTAAATAAAATCTCAGAGTATTGCTAGAGAAGTGCTGAATAGAAATTCAATAAAACCAGTTGAGATGTCTCTAATGAAAAAAAAAAAACAAAAAACACTGTTCAGAATAGATCAGGAAACCTACCTCCATCCAACCCTGACTGGCTGATTAAAGGTAGCACACTGGTCTCTTACACAGAGAGGCCTTACACCTAAATATAGAACAGTCTGCAAACTCCTAAAATCTTTTGCACAGCAGGGTGGGTAGTTATTCTCTGGACAGCAAGCATTTCCTTGGATGTAGCACCTTCTCCACTGCATCCATGCATTGAAGATTCCATACGCTGTCATAGGTGAAGGATGTTGTGGGCTTAATGTTATGGAGAATACCCCTTAAATAGAGATAATTTTTAAAGGAAAAGAGAGAAAAACACCAGTCATTGAAACACTGTACTCAATATAAATAGACCAATAGACATTAGCTCACCTATTCTTTACAACAACTAATCTTCTTATCCCCATTTTGTTGATGAGAAAACTAAGTGGAAGAGAAGTTGAATAACTTGTTCACTACAATCACATATTTAGTAAGTAGCTGAGCTAGAATTTGAATCAAGACTGTGCAATGCCTCTGCTTTTTAAATTGCCATGCTGGGTGGCCTTACTACACTATCCTGCCTCTCAAATTCCCCCCTTTTCTAGCTGTAAAGGATATCAGACAGTCATCTCCAATTGTTTGAGAGAAAAAGAGGGATTGTTTGCAACATGAATCTTTTTGGTCCAAAATTAACTTAATTTATGATCCATAGATTCCTTCCAATATAAGGGGTCTTCAGATGAAATTCATCTTACTATAGTTGGAAAGATTTCTTTCTGTAGAGATGATTTCTTCCTTTAGCCAGAGGGTTGTTCACACACAGTGCTGGTTTGCAGCTGAATGTGGTCTTTGGGCAGATATTTAGGAGACAAAACCTGTTTGGGGAAATTGAACAGAAAAGATGTTGAAGACCATGAATATTCACTCATGCACTCAATTATGTGCCAGGTGGTGAAGAAAGGTAGAGAGTTGAGAAAGAAGAGACACAGGAATGGTAGAACTAGCCAAGATGGCAAACTAATTAAGGTGCTGGCTCCCTCTCCAGACATCAACCCTGGAGAAATTATAGAGGCAGAGAGGACACAGGCATTTCAAGAATTAGTAAGTCATGGGCGTGGCAGGGGGGCCAGTGAGGGAGAAGAAGCCAAAAGGAAAAAAAGAAACACAAATGAGAAAACTCTAAACTTCTTAAACCAATGTGCATTTTGAAGAGGGGAGAAGGGTGCCCAGGGAACAGGTAGAGAAACGAGGCAGTAAAGAAGAGGATGGAGAAAAAAGTTTAATTGTGTTCTTCACTTCACATTCTCCATTGCTTTGGGACATTGCCTGCAGCAACAGGTGTGATTGCTGGTCCCAATGTTCTCTGTCTCAGAGCAGCACAAAAGCCCTTAAGGAGTAAGAAATTCATAAAATAAACAGGTGTGCACCAAGCAGCCACTTTGGGCATTCATTTGTTTTCTTCATTCGGGTACATCTATGGTAACTAGGTCTTCACACTGAGGCTCACTCTCCACTCTCTTCAAAAACAGGACCCACAAAGCCAAGGCCTGGCCTTCAGCCATTCCCCAATAACCATTAGAGAACAATTACTCCAGGAACAGGAGCTCACTGGACAAGATAACTAGACATCTGAGGAGTACAACCATTCCAAAAGAGAGCTAACAAACTAAACAAAGTACACTATCTGTCAGAGTGATTGGGGAACACTGATAAAGAATTCCAAATAAGCATGAAAATGCATATTGGAAGACTTAAGTAAAAATATTAGCAACACACAAAGAAACAAGAAATCACAAAAAAGAACCCAGCAGGGCTACTGGTTATGAAAATTCAAAGGCTGAAAAAGCATGATACACAATAGCTGAATAAATACTACTTAATTGGTAACATGGACACAGCTTAAAAATGAATTAGTGAGTTAAAAAATCAGATTGTAGGGCCGGCCCGGTGGCGCACTGCTACAGTGCACCACTTGGGAGTGCGGTGGCGCTCCCGCCGAGGGTTCGGATCCCACATACAGACCGGCCGCTCACTGGCTGAGCGAGGTGCGGGTGCAACACCGAGGGTTGTGATCCCGTTGCCGGTCCCGGTCCAGTACGGGCGCGACACTGAGGGTTACGATCCGTTGCCGGTCACGAAAAAAGACAAAAAGGAAAAAAAAAAATCAGATTGTAAATCTCTTCCAAAGGAAGCAGGAAAGGATGAAAAGATAGAAAACAGAAAAGAAAAACTAAGAGATACAGAGATGGAAGTGTCAATATCTGAATAATAGGAGTACCAGGACACAAAAAAATAAAAATGGAGAAGGGGACATATTTGAAGAAATATGTTTAAAAACCCTTCCTAGTTAAAGATAAAAGAACTTAAATAGGAATAACTCAAAGATTGCCAAATAAATGCCCCAAACTAAAATTCTTGTTAATATCAACAAGATTGGGACAAGAAGAGATCAACATAACATGATGGCAGATTAAAGCTTCTCTCTTTTAGGGAAAGATAGAGATTTGGATAATTAAGAAAGCAGTATGGCTAAATAAATTAGTATGGGTCTTAAGATGAGTGAAATAAGTCTTACTATCACATTAATTATAATAAGGTGGTCATGGTCAACAA